ACAAACTAGATTCTTTTCCGAAATATCACATACTTGAACCGATCTGATCACGTAGCTCAGTTAGCAAGAGCATTGGGCTAGTATTCCAAAGGTCGTAGGTTCGATTCCCACCGTAGTCAGGCATATTTTTCAAACTTGCCCGGTGTGGATGTACACTCAGAGTAACATCACAAACATCATATTCACCTGAGTACATTACACCAACACAGAAAACTCATTACTGATTATTAGATTACATTGATATCGAAGGAACTAGATTCTGTTCTGAAATATCACATACTCGAACCGATCTGACCGCGTAGCTCAGTTGGCAGAGCATTGGGACTAATTCCAAAGGTCGTAGGTTCGATTCCCACCATGGTCAGGCATATTATTCAAGCTTGCCCGGTGTGGATATACACTCAGAGTAATATCACAAGCATTATATCTTTATACTGACTGAAGCAAGTATAATGTTGGAAGTTCTGGCTTTCTATGATTGCAAACTTTTAATATTATTGCAGATGTAATTTTCGCCTGGAAATCCTGTTTTCAAAACATTTGTCTTTGCTGTTAATAGCTCTGTGTATGAAAAACACTCAACAACCCCCCCCTGAAATGGATTTTCCTGTGATTGACGTAAATGTTCAAAGCCAATGAAATCTCGCAGTCATTAAAAAAAAATACCAGTTTCAGGCAACTTGCATCCCACATAGTCACAGCCATGGGCGTACCGGAAGGAAAACATTAGGGGGACGGAAAGAAATTTGCCCGACTTTTCGGGATTGTGCCCGACTAGGACCTAAAAATTTTTTTTCGGGAAAAATTATTTCGGCGCCCCCGCCATTTTAGGGGTCAAAAAATTTTTCCGGACATACAAAAATTTTTCGGAAAATCACACAAATTTTCCAAAAAACACAAAATTCACCACAAAATTTACTCAATTTTCGACTAAATTGACAGAATTTGTCCCATTTATTTTTATTACAAAACAAAATTGCCCAACTGTTGATCGAATATTGCCCGACTGCCCCCTCTGCCGGTACGCCTATGTCAATAATCTTAGAAACCTGCCTGAACTCTGAAGTATTGGATAAATGTTTGTGACTATCAATCAAATTCATCAAAATAGCACAAGAAACTCATAGAAACTTCACAACTGGTTCCAATAATGGAGTTGATGTATGGAACTCACTAGAATAAAAAATAAAGACAAACTCTCAATACATATTCAAAAAACAAATTAAGCAGCATTTTCTGATGAAAACATTTTATTTGCATATCATTCTATTTGCATATTATTGTTCTTCTATTACTCTGAAAGTTCTCTCTCTGATTTGACTGTAAAATAAAATAATATATTATAAATCAGTACTTTGAAAATACATACAGATCAGCCAGAATAAAAAAATTTGGTTTAATAGAGCATGAGAAAATCAACAAAATGTCCACACAAAATTATCGCTCACTCATTAGTATATGGCAGTCATGGCTTGGTCGTGCGCTCGCCCTAATGTTTTGCACCCCCGGCAATATGGCGGAATAAACCTTGAAAGGGCCTATTTAAAATTTTTTTATATTAATTTTTTTAAATTCACCTGATGAGTGTGGCAAGCATTGCTTGTCATACGAAACAAGTTTGTAGTCAATAAATCTTATGAAGTAAACCAGGTTTATTTTATCTTCTTTATTAGCTCTATACTTCGGTATATCGAGCACCCTACTCATATATGATTCTAAATACATATTTGGTATATATATTTATATATATATATATTTATATATATATTTATTTATTTATATATTTATATATATTTATATTTATATTTATATTTATATTTATATTTATATTTATATTTATATTTATATTTATATATATATATATATAGCTTCAAATTGAAAATAAATTTTCAGTAAACTTCAAATAAATAAATACATGTTGTAAAGATAAAGATACATTTTGGGGCACAGCCCCTTCGTCAGAAACGAGATAAGTTCAAATCCATGTCCTTAAATACTTTTGGCCCAATCCTAATTAACATACACTAATAATATTTTTATAGACTTGCATTAATATTCCTCCCTCAAATTTAATCCCAGTTGTGTTTGGAAATTTTTTGTTTATTTCGCAAACAAATTGGATCTAAATTGACTGTATCTTACAAAAATGTTTTTAATTTCCGGCACAAAAATAACAACTTTATTGCGCAAATTCTATTTTGTCATTGGACTACGTCACTAAGGAGTCATGTGAGATATGCACGCGCAGATCGAGTGTTCAATTTTGCAAGCAATGATCGAGAGTGTTCACATGTTTTATTTCGTGGGAACAAAATATTGACAATATGTAAGTACATTTTTACGTTTCTGCCTTAAAATACACGAGGTGATTGTTTCTAACATAGTATTTGTAAAGTTCTCTCGCCATGTAGGGGGTTTTCATCACACAGTGGTGTTATAAGACGAAGAAATGTCGAACGAAAATCGAAATGTGACCTTGCGCACGGCGTTAATACGACCGTCAACTACAGGAATATGGCAGGACTTCGCACACAATGTGGTGATGCTGGCACATTACTTCATCAAGTACTAGCAGTCCATGTTTACCTGTTGGTTGGAATTTATCAACCCTATCTTCTTCAACAATGCCTGGACCAAGGGCTATCTGTAGTCTGTCACACTGAAAGATCTCGCCGAAACGGCAAAATATATAAAGGTCGAAGAAACACTGTTTTCAGACCTGAACATGAGATCTTGCCGAATCAGCACTTGTATTAATAACACGTGGACTCGGCGTGTATGTACAGTCAATGACAGCGGAGGCAACATTTGGTACAAGAGGTTGAAGAAATACCGTCCAGTCAGACATGAATATGATATCCTGTCGTTCGGCAGTTTATATTACAATCAGTGGAGGCAACGACGGAGTTTAATACATGAAACTTGGCAATGCTCAACGTTGCGAAAAATGTTAGATGATCCCTTCGTATGAGTACAATATGAGATCAAGCCGTATAGACTAACTTAGTCACCAAAACGGCATATTGCATTGTCAAAACGCCGACTCGTCGGATAATGCACAATTTGGCAATGCCAATGGTCAACCTTGCGGAAGAATTATTAAAACGCCGACTCGGCGAATGTTATAAATGTACATGTCCAGCTTGAAATACAGCAGCTATTAATACTAATAATGCACATGATGCATTACTAAAACGCCGCACCCAGTTAAAAATTAGCAATTTTTATTAAACTGTTGAACTGGGAATATAATTAAAACGGCGAACTGACAGAGAATGTCAATATTATACAAGCTGCACTGCTGCAGTGAGCTGTTGAATGGGGAAAACATTTGTGTTACTATCGCATGTTAAATGATTATGTAATCTTAAAATCGAGGTACAGACTACAGCTGTACTACACGAACTGTACAGTATGTAAATAGCAAATGCTATCCATATTCTCACTGGGAGTTTTCTCTCACAATACCATATACTTTGAATATTTATGCATGAGATAATCAATTAGTCATCCATATACACCACAGGATTGTCAGACAGTATAAAAGTAGCACAGAATCGGTATCTTGTGAGCATTTGCAGATTTGCCACCGAAAAGGAAGGACGGC